AATATTTTTTTTATATTCCGAAACCAGTGTGAAATAAAAAGACACAGAAGACAAAATAAATGTGTGATCCAATAACAAATGCGGACTTATTACATAATCGTTGACCAAGCAGTCAATGAATGTAGAATTACTCTAATTGTTTGACATGAAATAAATCCAGCAGGTTGCTGTGGAAACGGCCCCTGGATATGGGCCAAAAGCCATGAACTTTTATTTCCTGTATCTGAGATGTGATTTGCTGCCCCGAGAAAAAATGTGAACTGATAGCATTGGCATTTCATTTAAGGAAAGTTCAGACCATTTGAACAGAAAAAGAATAGATCTTTCTTATGTTCAGATAGGATGAGCTGATTCTGCTCTGAAACATCCAAACGTTGTTTATTTTCTAGACATGTTTTTCTGAGTATTCACTGGCTTTTATCAGGTGTTTTGCAGCATGAATTTCAGCTGAGATTTCTTTTTTCCCAAAGTCATATAATGATACAGCAACCTGCACGTTTTTGCTAGACAGCAGCAGACAGACAGAGCTGGAGTTTGCAGCTGTCTGCTGCTCTGTGATTATCTGTGCGCATGTAGAGAGTCGTGAAATTAGGGCTACCTAAGGGGCAGTAAAGATTCGTTAGCATGTGAACTGCAGTCTCTCGCCTGTCATTCTGTGGAGGGAAGGAGGAAAAGATCTTCTGCTCTCACAATCATGCCAAACACATTCACCCGACACACGCTAGCCTGCTCTCACAGTCATGCCAAACACATTCACCCGACACACGCTAGTCTGCTCTCACATTCCCATAGAAAGTAATTTTAATAGGCAGCCCAGTGAAGGGGGGCATGTGTTTGCTGTGTTAATGCCTCCCAGTTGAGGGGGAGATGGAAACTTAATGAAGGGAACAAGGCAGGGGACCGAGGGGGTGGGGGCGTTGCTGGTGTGGCAGATGGGTGGCACTAAGAGTGGGCACTGCTGTGCTTTCTGGGGAGGGCGGTAATTAAGGCCCCGTAGAGGCGATCCCATGGGACGGGGGGCCCAGCTCTCACTGCCAAGGAAACGCCCATGATTTATATCCCAATTATAAGGCCTATTTACACACATGTGCACATGCAGAGACATTGGCACAGTCCCTCAGCCACACACACACACACACACACACACACACATGCAGGGGCAGTGTTTCTCACTATTCTGAACATTCACACACAGATTCTGACTTACACAGATGTTCGTCCCTGCCAATTCCACCTGGGAATTTACTCTCTGGGTAGCCATGCCAGACTCCCCCCCCCCCCCGAAAGTGTCCCTGAAAGTGGATCTTATAGGACATGTGGTCGTCATGAGTGGTTGAAGTCGAAATGTTCTTCAGAATGTGCTAAATAAATGCAGGGTCAGACACTCTTTGGAGCCATTGAGGGTCAGGGGCCATGTTGAAGGGCCCAGTTTCCAGCCCTGGCATTTGGAAGCCTAGTCTGCTGTGTGACACGGCACCTCCGTTCTCGTAAGAATGAGACCAGACCAGGTCCCTGCCCATCAGCTGTGTCACTGTTGCACTGTTACTCTTCAACCAAACGTTTGACAAAGTTCTATTTTAAGGATACCGCCCCTCTCGGGAGTTGAACCAATAGCCTTTAACCTACAAGTTGCCGTTGCACCTTGACATTAGTCATCATACCTGAGACCAAGATTGTTTTCGTTATTTTCAACTGAAGTCAACACCGTGAGTCTTGCCCGTGTCACCTTGTACACAAGCCAGAGTCGATGTGGACGGTGAAGGTATTATTAGATATCATTTAGCTTCACAGGTATGGTACTAGCAGGATCCAAGACTCAACGCTGAGTCATCGGTCACTTATTTTTCATCTCCCTGCCCTCGTTAAGGAGGTACACGGCCAGATTCTTTCAGATTGTCAGACATTATTAGACCTTGCCGTTGATTTTGAGGATGTAACACTCCTGCCCAGCAGATCCCGTGGTTTTTCTCGCCCGCTCCCGACACATACATCCCATAATAACTGTTTTCTGCTGAACCCGTCTTTCCATAATGGAGAGCCGTCACTGGCGGTCAGGGTGCTGGTGACGACGCCGGCGAACCCATCATTGTCGACAGCGTTCGGCGAACGCAGCAGGACGGCGGTCGGGGCGTCGCCCGGCGCCCAGTGTCTCACCGAGGACTTGAGCACAGATAGATAAGACGGGTTAGAGGCCCCAAAGTCAGGGCTTCCAGTCGTCTGACGAGTGCTGGTCGCAGTCAAGGATCCATCTTCTCCTGACACCTGAGCCCCACATCTTGCAGCACTGAGGTGAGGCACCTTCATCTTCAGCCTGTCCTGTCACGTCAACACAGAGAAAAGGTCTGCTGGGTCATTCTCAGCCTTTTACCTGTTTCTCCTGCTTGGAACCATCTTAGTTCTGTTTGTGTCGGTCTGTGACTTTGCTCCTCCATGGAGGATCAGAAACTGAAACGCATTTTACTTAAACCTCGCATGGAAATATGTCAGGATTAAAGGGGAGGTTAAGTGACCTTTCTTTTTTGTATAAAAACCGTTGCCTTGTGTTTCCCGGGTGGAAACGTTAGTTTAAATTCGCAGTGGTCAGAGGAACTTTGACGTCGGAGAACGACAAGAATCTGGGTGGCTTTTGTGTTAAAACTGAAAGCTTGTTTTTCATATTCTTATTCAGTAGTGGGCACCTTTGTTTTTAAATCTCGCTCCAGGTCTCGAAGGCTTACAAAATGCAACAAATATCATTCAATCACCTCGTATCCAGTATGGGTACTGCTGCTACATACATGGTCAGAAATATTCTTGGTGGTTTATTTGGTCGGAATCCCAGGTCCGTGGCTCTTCCTGTTTTTTTTATTGGTGGCTGGCTCTCTGAGTGACCTCGCCGCCTCGCCGCCTCGCGCGGTAATGCATCCCGCAGATCCAGGGCCGCTCGTGTCAGCCTCTGCCCCCCCCCCATTATCCAGCTTCCCTGCCTCTGGCACTCTGACCCATAACACACCTACTGTGCCCCCCTCTGGT